GACTTCCATGAACACTGAAATTTTTTTGTTTGGTTGGTTTTAGTTTTTCGAGACAGGATTTCTCTGTTTAACTTTGGTGACCATCCTGGAACCCACTCAGGAGACCAGGTTGATCTGGAACTCACAGAGATCCCCCTGCCTTTGCCTTCCAAGGCATGCGCCACCACCACCCAGGGAACACTGAAATTTTTCAAGTGTCCTGAAACAATAAATCTGCTCACAGACTATCAACACTGCCACTAAATCAGTCTTTCGCATATACGACTTAGAAAGAGAGCAACTTCTGTTCCCCAAAGCAGCAGTGTACCAATATGCCACACCTTTGAGACATATACTTTAAATAGCAAAAACCCAAGTTACCGACAAGGTACTAGAATGATCAGATATTTCACAGCTCATAGAGTAGTGGGTAAATGAGCAAAATACATAAAATCTTTATTTAGGTGTAAACATTGTTATGCAGTAGGTACAAAATTATCTGTGCTATAACTCTAGTTTTACATCAGTTTGACACTAGCTAAAGTCATTTGAGAAAGGAACCTCAATTGAGAAAATGCATCCATAAGGAGCTGTAGGCTATAGGCAAGCCTGTAGGACATTTTATTAATTAGTGATTGATGGTGGAGGGCCCAGCCCATTGGGGGTGGTACTATTCTTGGGCTGGTGGTCCTGGGGTCTATAAGAAAGCAGGCTGAGCAATCCAGGGAGAGCAAGCCAGTTAGCAGTACCCCTTCAATATCTCTGCATCAGCTCCTGCCTCCAGGTCCCGCCCTGCTTTAGTTCCTGTCCTCACTGCTTTTGATGATGAACTGGTATATGGAACTATGAGCCAAATAAACCTTTCCTCCCCAAGTTGCTTTTGGTCATGGTGTTTCATCACAGCAATAGTAACCCTAACTAAGACAATAACTATAGCTGTTTGGCTGATTAATAAACATGTTTGGATTTGTTTGTTTTTGGGGTTGGGGGAAGAGTCTCAACTATGCAACCCTGACTGACCTGGAATTCTCTCTGGCTTCATACTTCCTGCCTCTGTCTCCTGAGTGTAGAATTAAATGTATGTTCACCATGCTCAGCTCTAATACTGTTTCCATAATTAAAATGTATGTTTTTGGCCTTTCCTTCTTACCTATGGATAAGGCCAAAAGAAAGACACTATCTGCTTTAACAGACTTAAAGAGGATTCTAGGAATGTCACCAATAACATAGCCTTTTTGACCAAATCCAGCAAACAGTTGAGAAGCTGTCACTAGGTAAAGAGCCATGACTTCCAGTCACTCTTGATCACCTGGACCCCAACATACTGCCTACTAGATTTCAGTTGTTTGGCTTTAATCCCAATTTCATCCAGCACAATTCCCTATTCAGACAGTGTCAGGTTTAATGTGAAGTTGTTTTATCACATTTTTATTTTTCATGAACACAACTTTCATATATGGGGGAGGTGGCACAGTGGGTATATGTATGCGTGAGACTGTGTAGTCCAGAGGGTCAGCCTCTGTTGTCATTTCTCAGGAGCCATCCATTTTGTCAGGGCTTTTTTGATTTGTTTTTCTACTTATTTAATTACTCAATTTCCCTCTCCCCAGGCCTCCTCATGTATGTGTCTGTATGTATCAGCATTTTTGTTTAAGAATGTATATTGAGCCAGGCAGTGGTGGCCGCACACCTTTAATCCCAGCACTCGGGAGGCAGAGAGGTAGGTGAATCTCTTGTGAGTTCGAGACCAGCCTGGACTACAAGAGCTAGTTCCAGGACAGCCTCCAAAGCCACAGAGAAACCCTGTCTCAAACACCCCCCAAAAAGAGTGAACACTGTACACAGTGTACATGTAGAGGTCAAAGAACAACTCATGGTAGTCAATTCTCCCATTCCACCATGTGGGTTCCACAGATCAAACTCAATAGCAATCACATTTACCCACTTAAGACTATTTTTATTTTATTGTATTTAGTGTGTGTGTGTGTGTGTGTGTGTGTGCATCTTTCACCAAGTAGTCCTTAAGCCTGATGAAAAGACATTTGATAATTAAAATGCAAATTAGATCATTGCTTAACTGATTGAAAAAAATTTTAAATGTTAGCAAGATTGTGCAGAAACAGGCAGTTTCTTATATTGCTAATGTCAGGTTTAAATGATTTAAAAAACCCTTGTGAAGAACTATTTGGCATATCTATCAATGTTTCAAACACATATATCCTTGATATACCAATTCCACTTTGTGGAATTTATCCTTGTAAACATACACACACAAAAGAACAAAATTTCAACAGGCATTGGTGGCGCACACCTTTAATCCCAGCACTCAGGAGGCAGAGGCAGGCAGATCTCTGTGAGTTCGAGGCCAGCCTTTTCTACAGAGTGAGTTCCAGGACAGCCTCCAAAATAATATAGAGAAATCCTGTCTCGAAAAACAAAAACAAACAAACAAACAAAAGAACAAAATTGCAGGTTACTCACTGAGGTATATTTAGTAATCATAAAAAGTTAGAAATAGTTGGGTGGTGGTGATGCAAGCCTTTAATCCCAGCACTTGGGGGCAGAGGCAGGCAGAACTCTGTGAGTTCAAGGCCAATCTGGTCTACAGAGTTCCAGGGCAGGCTCCAAAGCTACAAAAACCAACAACAACAAAAAAAGGTTAAAAATAATTCACTATCAACATAAAATTATCTAAATTTTGAATAAATTATCTAAGTACCACATAGCTAAAAGCAATGTTTAAAAGAAATGACAACTTAGAGGACTTGGTGAATACCTGCCATCCCACAATCTGAGAGGACTTTACCTCTGGAAGGTCTCCACCTGGGAGCAAGGCAAGCAAGAGGACCAGGAATTTCAGATCAACTTCAGTTACATAGTATATCTGAGGCCAGCATGGACTGCATATACGACACTATCTGAAAAACAAACAAGGAAGCAAAAAAAAAAAAAAAAAAAAGACAAAACTCTCTACTGATACAGAAGTTATTCTTGAGATGCATTAAGTGGGAAAAAGTTGTGTAAAAATTTTCAAGACAGGGTTTCTCTGTGCAGCCCTGACTGTCTTGCAACTTGCTCTGAAGACCAAGCTGGCCTTGAACTCAGAGATCTACCTGCCTCCGCCCTCTGAGTGCTGGGATTTCAGGTATGCACCATGTTCTTTCAGTACAGAATAATCCCCAGAAGGGTACACAGAAAGCCAGCAAACCAGTAGCAGCAGCTACCTCTGTGGAATGTGCCAAACGAGGGGAAAGGAGTGTGTGTGTCTTTTTACTATAAATTTCTTCTTTTTTTAAAATTTGTTTGTATGTATGTATCTGCTATGTATATGTATGTGCCTGTAGAGTTCAAAAGAGGCCCTGGGATCCCCTGAAGCTGGAGTTACAGGTGTCATAAACTGCATGTTGTGGGTGATGGATCCAAACTCAGGTCTCTCCATCCCCCAAAACAAATGTCGTTATATTTAAAAAGTAATTTTGAAGCAATAGATCATATGATTGATTATGACAATGTAATCTTCTGCCAGCTGTGGTGATTCATGTCTTTGATTCCAGCACTAGGGAGACAGAGGCAGGTGGATCTCTGTGAGATCGAGGCCAGATTGCTCTACATAATGAGTTCCAGGACAGCCAAGGCTACATAGAGAAAACCCATCTTGAAAAAAAAATTTTTAAATGATGAAAGAAAAAAGAAATGAGTCATCATACCACAAAAAGATATAGAGGATCTTTAAATACTTATTGATAAGTGAAAGAGGCCTATCTGATGAGTTTATACACAGAATGACTCCAATTATTCCCAAAAGGGCAAAACTTTAAAGTCAGTAAAATCAGTGATGGAAAGGGATGGGGCCAGGGAGAGGGATAAATGGGTGAAGCACAGAGGATTTTTAGCAGAATGAAATTATTTTGTTTTATACCTTAATAGTGACTATATGATAATATGAATTTGTCAAAAGTCTAGAAAACTGTACAACACAAAGAGTGAATCCCAATAAAAACTATAAGCTTTTTGTAATCACACTGAGATAATATTCAATTGTAAGAAATGTACTACACTAACATAAGATATTAATAATAGAAGCTAAATATAAGTAAGGCAGATGTGGTGCATGTCTTTAATACCAGAACTGGGGAGGCAGGCAGATCTCTGAGTTCTGAGTTCAAGAGTAGCCTGGTCTACAAAGTGAACTCCAAGACAGCCAGGGCTACATAGAGAAACCCTGTCTTCAAACAAACAAAACCCAGCTAAATAGAAGACATAGAGGATAAAAAGAACTCTCTGCTAGTGGATCAATCTTCTACAAGCTTAAAATTCCTCTAAATATCTAAGTGTGAATTTTTCAGTGCCTGCGTGTGCATTTAGGTAAACACTTTACACACTCACTCATTGCAAGGTGCCTAACAAAGTGCAGTACTTACTACCCACAGCCTTGGCCCAAAAGCAAGGTCAAGCGTCAAGTTCTGCAGTGAGCAAATATGATCCTACTACTATCTGACTGTGTGGTCTTATGCAAGTTGTCTCTTTAGCCTTAGTTTCTCCATCTGTAAAGTAGAAAACAGTAACCCCTTCTAAGTCTGTTAATAAGATCCAAAGAAAGAATGCTGAGTGCAAAATGCTCACCACAGTTTCTAATGAAAGAGAAAAGCTCGAAATAACAGCGCACTATGACAACAAAACTATTCACAAAATGACTGATGTCACTTCAGATGACAAGTTTGCTCCAGTACCAACCTATCAGTAACAGCCCTGTTTAGGGCCTCAGACTCTAATTTGTACTACCTCGAACGCAATCCTCATTGCCTGAGTGCTAGTCCATATAGTTCAGACACTCTTTACTCCATAAATGTTATTTTTCATCCTTGTTTGTCCCTACATTACAGGCTCAGGCCCTGGCGCCCCTTCCTTCTGTCCCTCCCCATTCCATCCAGACCCACTACCATTCAGGCTCCGCCCCTGTCTCCTCCCCACTCCTTGCCTAACTCGTCACTCCTTTCCCGAAGCTGAAAGAAGCCCCCTACCCAGATACTCGTAGTCCGGTAGAGCTAGGCGCTCGGGACTCAGCATCCTTTGACCGGGTAGTTTCCAGGCTCCAGCTTTCTGGCTTCCGGAATCCAGGTTACAGTCTGTCTCTGTTGCCATGGCACCCATGCGGCCAGAGGAGAAATAGAAGGCGGAGAGGGTGTCACGTAAACAGTTTCCGTCTGGCAACACGGAGCCCAACACACAAGTTCCGGAAGCTGTCACTTGGAGGTTTTTTGTTTTGTTTTGTTTCGTTTTTAAATTTCTATTTTTAGGACCTGTTTTAAATCTCTGAAGTGAATCTCCGAATGTGTAATATTTCGTGATGCCAAAGAATTACTGTCAGCGACTCATATCCAGTTTCTGGATTTCATAATTTCTGTTTATCCTAGTGATAATTATTATGTATGACCTCGCAGAACACTGAAATCTCGTTACCTATTATTAATCACTTTCAGTATTTACTCTCTTAAGTTGTTACAAAGTGCTCACTGTATCTTGGCGGCTTCTTGGGATCATGTCATGGATGTGCCTCTTAGCCCCCAGCAGGGTTAGACACAAGAGGTACTCACGAAGGGCCAGTGAGACGGCACACCATCTTTGGTCGCTTAGTACAATCCAAGGTGCCCCGTATGGTTTTAAAACAAAAAGAGTACTATCCAGGCGTTGGTGGTGCATGCCTTTAATCCCAGCACTCGGGAGGCAGAGGCAAGCGGATCTCTGTGTTCAAGGCCAGCCTAGTCTACTGAGCGAGTTCCAGGACAGTCTCCAAAACAACAAAACAATACAGAGAAACCCTGTCTCAAAAAAAAAAAAAAAAAAAAAAAGAGTACCAACTCCTGAAACTTGTTCTATGACCTCCACGTGTCCCCTACCCCCAAACAAATGTTTGTGGAGAGAGGGGGTACTGTGGCGGGGGAGCCTCCCTATATAACCCTGGCTGGCTTGGAACTTGATTTAGACCAAACTAGCCTTGAACTTACAGAGATCAGCCTGCCTCTGCCTCCCAAAGGGCTGTTTTTGTTTGTTTGTTTGTTTGTTTGTTTTGTTTTTTGGTTTTTCGAGACAGGGTTTCTCTGTATTGTTTTGGAGGCTATCGGTCCAGCCCAGCCTTGAACTCACAGAGATCGCCTGCCTCTGCCTCCCGAGTGCTGGGATTAAAGGCGTGCGCCAGCACCGGCTCCAAAGGGCTGTTTTAAAGCGTGTGTGCCACCCCCACCCAGCGAAATGTAAATTTTAAAACTATTCATTAAGTCCTCTATAAGTTAATTGCCATTTCCTCTGAAATTCCTTTCAATTATTAGACCCTACTTCTACTCCTATCCCTTATTATTGGATACTTTGCCCAAGTGGCTGTCCTTTTTCCTACAAAGACACTTTAGAAAGGAAATAGATCAGAAACTAGAGCATTTATTAGATTACCCCCCTCCCTTGCACAAATTGTAGCCTTTTAGTAGAAGAGAGACTATTCATTGGTTTTTAAATAACCAGATATTTCTTTTTGCTCCTCTCTCAGAACAAAAGGAAAGAGAGCCGTAGCAGTCATTGAAATCTGATGGTAGCAGGAAAAGTCCTCACTTTTTTTTTAAAGTAAGGGCCCTCCCCCTTCAACAAGAGGATGTTTTGAGAGAGGAGAGGTTTTGTGACAAAGAAAGAAAACAAAATTTATGCCATCAAAGGAGTGACTGGCAATCCCGCAGACCACCTACACTGGGAGAAGGAAAAGAAGGCTCTTCTCTCAAGTTCTGAGTGGCCTATTCTTGGCTTCCTCCAACAAGGAGCCTCTCAGACCTTGTAATTCTCTCTTTCCCTGAAATTTGTATGTATGTCTCAATTCTAGGCCCCTGTGAGTCACTCTGGACGTGGTAAGGAGAAAGGGATAGAACCAAGGTTGGAGCAGTGTTTTTAGTGTCCTGAGGTATGAATTTGCTAGGTTGGCATTTGATATGAAGTCTTACAAATTTGATTAAAAATAATTGTCTTCTTCCTCCAACAGTACTCTATGCAGGTTGAGCATACAGAAATTTAGTGGATTTTATACTTGGACTTATTACTATACTATAAAGTGATAATACATTTAAAAAATTAACATAGGGTTTTACCTATCTCAGGGTTGCCGGTAACTCACTAGGCAGCCAAAGATGACCCTGAACTTCTGATCCCCCTACCTCCATCTCTGGAGTACTGAGGTTATAGGCATGAGCCATGAACTCTTTTATCTGGAGCTGGGATGGAATGTAGGGTCTTTCTTCATCCATGCTAGACAAGCCATCAATTGAGCTACAACACCAATGCTAGGATGGTAATTATTACAGATGATAGTTTTATCTTACTCCCCAGCAACCTGGAGTTATTTGCAGATAATTTCATATATTTTGCCTCACGAAAACTAAGGCAATTCCCTTTTTTCTAAGTAGGAAAACTGAGGCATGGGGTCACAAAAATGACTTGTCTAATATCATCTGTCTACTCCGTGGGAGGGCTGGAATTGGATCTCAACTATATCAACATCCAGGCGAGAGGGTTGACCACTAAACCACATGATCTCTTTTTTTAGGGATTGTTGGGTTGGTGTTTATTTATTTACTTTTCTTTTTGTTCTGTCCTGCCAGCAACTGGGAGCTCCCAGATGAAAGAAGAAAGTTTTGAATCCAGGCTACACATTTGACATCCTCTTATTTGTGGAACATCACCCTGGGACTTGGAGGGTGCTGCTATTGGGGTCTGTGTGGTGAAGCTGAGAACCAACCCCAAGAATATAGCTTTGTTTGGGCATTAACCCATTTGCGGTTATAATAATGATAAGTTTCAGCACCAGTGGCGCCTGACTGTTAATGACTCAAAGAAAGCTAAATAAGAACAAGATGTCATCTCTGGAGAAATTTGTAGGCTTTTCCTACAGTTCCATTTCTTCTACTAAAGTCCCAAGGATACTTATGCTTTTTTGTTTTGTTGAACTTTTTAGAAGAATTCTTTTATTTTAAGATGTATTTTTTCATGTATTTTATGTATATGAGTGATCTATTTGCGCGTATGCCTTTGTGGCAGGAGAGGGCATCAGATTCCATTATAGATGATTGTGAGCCACCATGTGTTTGCTGGGAATTGAACTCAGGGCCTCTGGAAGAGCAGTCAGTGCTCTTAACCATTAAGCCATCACTCCAACCCTTGTTTGTTTGAGACAGGGTTTCTCTGTGTAGCCCTGGCAGTCCTGGGACTTGCTCTGTAGACCAGTCTGGGCTCGAACTCAGACATCTGCCTGTCCCTGCTTCCCAAGTGCTAGGATTAAAGGTGTGCACCATCACAAGCCAACAATCCTTATCCTTAAAGCTAGTATTCCACTCTGAGTGTTCCAAACAGTGAGGAAACATAGAAAGGACAGAAGGCTACTAGTCTAGAGCCTCAAATATTGGGGGCTTCACAGAAATAATGTTGGCCCTTCCTAGTGGTGGAATTAATGATTATATTTCCTTATTTTATATTTTTCTATATTCTTCAAATTATCCATCTATTACGAACTGAAAATGAACTATGATAAGTATGATGGCCTTCTGGATAGTGTTTGCTTTTCCAAGAGGAAGTCACTGCTTTTTGGATTTCTCTTTGTTCACAGATTACATAACAGATTTTAGCTACACTTACATGATGGATGAAATTTTTCAGTGAAACATACACATTACTCTTTTTTTTTTCTTTTTTCTTTTTTGGTTTTTTCGAGACAGGGTTTCTCTGTGGCTTTGGAGGCTGTCCTGGAACTAGCTCTTGTAGACCAGGCTGGCCTCGAACTCACAGAGATCCGCCTGCCTCTGCCTCCCGAGTGCTGGGATTAAAGGCGCGCGCCACCAATGCCCGGCCACACATTACTCTTAAGAATAGAAATAAGATTGGGCGAGGTAGTCCTGCAGTTGAGAGTATGTACTGCTCTCGCAGAGGACCTGAGTTCAATTCCCAGCACCCACATTAGGAGGCGCACAACCTCCTATAACTCCAGCTCCAGGTTATCCAACACCCTCTTCTAGACTCTGTAGGCATCTGCACTTATATATATGCACACACACACACACACACACTTAAAAATAAAATGTATAGCCGGGCGGTGGTGGCACACACCTTTAATCCCAGCACTTGGGAGGCAGAGGCAGAGGGATCTCTGTGAGTTCTAGAACCAGCCTGGTCTACAGAGCGAGTTCCAGGACAGGCTCCAAAGCAATACAGAGAGAAACCCTGCCTCTAAAAACCAAAAAAAAAAAAAAAAAAAGCAGTGAAATAAGGTCTTCTAGACATGACATGGCTGTTGCACTCACTGCATCTATGGTTCCCTGCTCAAGGCCCATTGAACAACATTCCAGCAAACACTAGTGAGACTTGGTGAGTTACAAAAATAAATAATAAAATAAGCCATTAAGGTCGGAAGAGGACATATTGGTGATGTCTGAGGGGAGAATTGTGGGTCAAGGGATCAAGGTACATTGTATGCATGTCTGAAAAACTAAAAGGGGGCAAACAATAGAACTAGTCCTTCCTGTGGGGTAGAGTGGAGACACCAAGCTTAAAACTCGGGAGACGCATCCACGTCCCCATGTGCTGATTTGTCAACCCACTTACTGCATAAAGAGAAAATTAATAGACATAGTTGGTTCTGTAAATAACCTAGGAAGATACTGATAAGAAAGAAGAGTGAAGACTCTAAAAAAGTAAAGACATGGTTTTTTACCTAGGGAATCAACAAGGAGAGAAGAAATGCAAGTTGAATTATTGTGCCACAAAACAGTTTCAAGAACCTAGGATGTGCTTTTTATTAGCTCACCAGGCAGAAAGATGCTAGCGGCAAAATAGCCACTAAGAAATGCTGGTCACAAAATGCATGCTGAGCCACTGGGCTCTTCTTAAAAGATAGCTTGCACAAAACGAAGTGGAGGCTAAGCATGATGCCACTGCCCAAGATGAACATGTTTACATTAAAAAATGCTATCTAATTGCTTTCAGTTGCCATACATATCAACAGACCATAGTTCTGGGGAATCTTCAAAGAAAAATAAATGTTCAAGCCAGGAGTAGTGGCACATTCCTTTAATATCAGCTTTATAAAGGCAGAGGCAGGCAGATCTCTGCTAGTTTGAGACCA